TTTATAATTATTGGTAGAATAACTTTGTTTTATATTAAAAAGCTAAAATCCGTTCATTCTCATTCCTTTGCTTTTGTTTGGTTTTAGAGGAGGCGGAGTCCCTCCTAATTCCTGGAGTAATACCCTGTTCCTATGCTACCCCGCCTCTTTGTCCACGTCTCTCTGCTCTGCCTTCAGTCTCTGTCCTGGCTCTATGTCCTCTGCATATAAATGTGAAGCCCTGTCCCCATTTACGGGTCTTTCCACATGCTGCCCTCTCTCGCTTCCTTCCAAGCCACATTTCTAAATCTTGAAATAATTTTTTCCGTGGTCACTTTCTCATCTCCCATTCATTCCACAACTCACAGTAAACTACCATATGTCCAACCCAGTCCCGTAACATCGCTTTTACTAAGGTCACCAAGGATGCCCTACCGTAAACTACTCAGTTTTTTGGGGGTCTTTGTCTGACTCGATCCCTCTGGCATCTGACAGTACTGTGTTTTCCTGCTTGAAGCTGTGACTTTTTCATTTGTTTTTTGGGAGGTGGGGTGGGAAGTTCTGGGGTTGAACTCAGGACTTCATGAGTTTGTAGACTTTCTTAACACCTGCACTACCTTCACCTCACGCCTGATGCAGACACTCTTCCTCTTCAACTCCTTGACTCACTGGTATCTGAAGGCTGTTGACATTCACCCAGTTCCCATCTCCCAGACCTCTTTGTTGTGTTCTGGGTTTGTGGATCCCAACTAACCACTAGGCATCTCAGGTGGCGCAACCATCCTCCTCATTTCTTTTTAGGTAAGTGAGAAACCAGGAAGCCATCTCCCTTTTGGAATGCCTATCTGTATACCATGTCAAGAGGAAATGATGCTGGGACCTTTACATCAACAGGCATGAACTGGAAATCATCCCCCAAAACCAAACCTGTACTTTCTCCTAAGGGCTTCTTCCTCTTTTTCTTTTTTTTTTTTGCAGCACTGGGGTTTGAACTTAGGGCCTCGTGCTTGCTAGGAAGGCACTGGGCCAATTGAGACACTCTGCCAGCCCTTTTTTTGTGTTGGGTTTTTATTGAGATAGGGTCTCTTGAACTATTTGCCTGTACTGGCTTCAAACCATGATCCTCCTGATCTCTGCCTCCTCAGTAGCTGGGATTATAGGTATGAGCCAGCAGTACCTGGCTCTCTTTAGCTCTTATTGTCTCTTCTTGGTATTGACATACTCCTAGGCCACCTGGGCTCAAAAGTTCAGTTACCTCAAACTTCTCATCATCTGCCACTGTCACACTCCACGAGAAGCCACGTACCAGCAAGTGAACCTTTACAATGTTTCTCAAAGTGCCCCTTCCCATTGCCACTGCCTTGTTATTTCTTGCATGGACTGTTATCTAGGACGCAGCCTGTTCAAATCCACTTGTACTCTGTTGCTAGGATAATCTTTCGCAAGCATAGCACTTTCCTAAGCCTAATATCCTGTGCCCGTTGTGACAACATCACACACATCATGTCTTCAATGCCACCTGCACCACTAGCACAACAGACCTATCTTCTCCATGCTAAGGATCCCTGCAATGACCATCTGCCTCCATAGCAGTTTCATAGATCACCCTTCAATACTTGTTTTATGAACATTTCTAATATGACCCCACATTCAATTACACTTCTATCTTCAAAAGTGTTGTTTGGTAGAAGAGTGGCTCAAGTGGTAGAGTGCCAACTTAGCAAGTGTGAAGCCCTGAGTTCAAACCCCCGGATCACCAAAAGTGTTTTTTATAGTCTAGAACTTTCCCACATTAAAAGCACTCTGTGAGGACCACTGAAATAAGGTGTGCCTACCTCTTCATCCTCCTGTGACTCATTCAAGGGCCCGTTGCGTGTCTCTTGGAAAAGTATTTTCTTCATTTTTCGGTACTGTAGATTATCTAGCTCACGAACAGCATCTTTCGTCCTTTGTATGAGGTCAATGAGGACACGGGGTGGCCGTTCTCGTCGAACAAAGTCGTGCTGTTTGAGGGAGGAGAAAAAACAAACTGACAGTAAAAAACCATATTCTTGCTGTGAGTTACAGTCATGAAAGCAAACAGAGAAGCATTAAAGAGCTCTATGCATTCAGCAGAAATGAACAAATATGACTTGCACGTCAGGCATCCCCCCATATTGTATATATTGCAAAGATAATATTTTTATTTTTTTCCTCAAGCTCCCAGATTATGCCCTAGAGATTACATAAGAATTGTTCTTTTTGCTGGATGCCGGTGGCTCATGCCTATAATCCTAGCTACTTGGGAGGCTAAGATTGGGAGGATCACAGTTCAAGGCCAGGTTCATTACCAAAACAACCAGAGCAAAATGAACTGGAGGTATGGCTCGAGTGGTAGAGCCCCTGCCTAGCAAGCATGTGGCCCTAAATTCAAAACCAATTTTATTATATGTATTTAAAGCACACGATATGATGTTTTGATATACATACTAAAATGAATACAGTGAAGTAACTTAACATATCCATCATCTCACAGTTCCCTTTCGTCTGCATGGCGAAAATACCTAATCTCTACTGCCTTTGCAAATTTCCAGAAGAGAATTCAGTATTATCAACCATAGTCTTCACGTAGTACTTTAGATCTCTACATTTATTTATCATACAAAACTGAAACTCCAGACCCTATAACCCTGTCCTTCATGCTCCATCCCTATAACCACCTTTCTACTGTTTCTAAGGATTTTTGTTTTTCCACAAAAGTGTAATCATGTGGTAATTCTCTCTCTCTGCCCGGGATTATTTTACTTAAGGCATGAGGCCCTTTGGGATTCACCAATCTAGTTGCAATAGTAGGATCTTTCTTTTTCAAAGTCTGAAAAACATTTTCATTGCAACCAATGGCACAATTTCATTATCCTTCTTTCCTTGGTGGAACACTTGGGTGGTTTCCTGTATCTTGGCTATTGTGGATAATGCTGTTTGTACATGGGCGTGCGACATCTTCAGCAGATCCTGGTTTCAATCTCCTTCAGGTAATTGTTATTCAGAGAAGGGCTGGTTGGAATCACATAGAAGTCCTATTTTTAATTTGTTTGAGAACATCATTCCTGCTAATACATAAACTGATGTACAAGCTGCTGTACTATTTCATATTCCTACCCAGCAGTGCACAAGTACAAGGATTCCCTATGTTCTAACTCCTAGCCATCCTTCCTTTTGTCTCTTGAGGTTTACTTTATCATACCAGCATTAAAAATTACTAGAGGCTTTAAGTGTATCTATTGAACCTGAAACAACATAAAGAAAGCAAATCAATTGCGGAACACAGAAATTCTGTTTAATGGACCTCAAACCCTCCTGTCATCTCTTGGTACTTTGAAAAACAGAAATTGTGCGTATTTTCTTTTCTGTTTTTTTGGGGTCATATTATGGAGGCCTTGAATATGACAGTTGTTCAATCTACCTAGAGTAACTTTGTCCCAACCCCCACTTCTAAAGGGCTGACACGCACCAGAAATAAGGGGAGAGGGGCCCTGGAAGAGTGAAAGTAATTCCTCCCTTTGATGCTTCATCCTCTTCAAGTTTATAGTTATAGATAACAAGGTATGCTTGTTTATAGACATAGGGAGAAAGACCTCTCAGGCTTCTTTGGATAGAATATATGGAGACGCTGTTCACTCCTTACCCTTCCCCCTTCCTCCTCTCTGGAAGAGAGACTGAATCCTGGTGATGTGGCAGTTGTTTTGTGACATAGAAAGATAAAAGCCACGCAAAGGATGGTGGAGGCCGGGAGGACAGGCAGCAGCTTGGGTTAATGGTGTCATCGATGAGTGCACAAAAGCCCTTCACTGCTTCCCTTTACCTCTTTTTTTCAAGGCCCTGACTTCATATTATAATGAAATACTTAAACCTTTGAAGCCTTTTTTAAAAATGGAGATACTCAGTATCTTAAAAATAACCTTTATCCACTGGATAAGGTCGGGTCTTTAGCAGTCAGTTTCCTAATTTTATTTCTTGGCTGCCAGTCATGCTTCTCTTCCTTCCTATTGAATGCGTAGTACGTTCTAGAAGACTTGAACACCGCTGCATGTAAATTTTTCACTTCCATGCCTTTTACTCCAAATCCTTGTCTGCAATCCCACCTCGCTCACAGCTCTCCAAACACTTTTCACCACTAAAAGATAATCAATTTAAAGAATGATTTTAAATGTTCTTGAAAGTAATTTACTTTTGAAGAATTCAAATAACATAGAAAAAATGCATAAAAGAAAAGAATAAATCCACTCCAAAGTCCATCATCTAAGAAAACAAATATTGGTAAAATTATGGAGGTCTGGGCATTTGAGGATCATTCTCCTTTTTCTCTCTCAGAAAATGGCAATCTAAGAAATCACTTTAACATGGGAATCTTATTATACATGCTAATTTTAAGTATAATCTATTGAAATTAAGATACACTTGAATTTAACAGAATTTTAGAAGAAACTGATTAAAGTAATTGTTTAAGCCTTAGTTAAATTCTTTCCCTCCAAAAAGAGTTATCGTTCTGAAAAGGTCCTTCTTACAGGAAAAAGAATTATAAAATGCTTTAAGAAAATTGGGCGTGACCTTTTGGTTTTTAAACCTTTAATACTTCTTTTAAGAAATATTATTGCCCATTTAGTCTGAAAAAACAGAAAAATTAAGTTGGGTACTGATGGCCCATGCCTGAGATCCTAGGTACTGGGAGGCAGAGATCAGGAGGATTGAGGTTGGAGGCCAACCCAGGAAAATAGTTCTCAAGATCCTGTCTCAAAAATAACCAACACAAAAAAGGGCTGGTAGTGTGGGTCAAGCAATAGAGTGAATGCCTAATGCACCGAGGCCCTAAGTTCAAACCCCATTACCACCAAAAACACAATAAAAAGAAAAAAAGAAAAATGAGCAAACTCATAATTTTCTGTACCTAATGTTTTTTCTAATTACATTCATTAATTTTACTTTGCCAATGTTTATCACATTTAGCATTCTATTTTTAGAGCATTTCAATAATTTTTACCACATTCTACATTTAAATTATTTAATGTGAGAGTGAACCCATTTTAATGACAGGACGATAATGTGAGGAAAAGAAGTTTGGTTGAATTTGGGGACAGGGCTCGGGTTGTGCTCAAGTGGTAAGTGCTACTTAGCAACATGAGGTTCCTGAATTCAAACAAACCAAAAAGTAATAACTAGGTAGGCTCTTGTGGTAAAAATGCTTGATTCCTACCTTATTCTTTATAAAAAAATTCTGCATGATTCTACCCCCCCAGACAAAAAAGTCGCAGCCTAAAGGATGTTTAAAATAGAAATAGGAAAGATTATTTTATAAGAACCTAAGACCTAGTTATAAATTAATCAATAAGTCAGTAGACACTGGGCATAAGATCATGTACAATGTTCAATAAAAAGGAAACCAGAATGGCTTTTTCCACACATGAAAAATGTGCAAGACAACTAATAACAAGAAAATACAATGAGCTGGGCACTGGTGGCTCACGCCCAATAATCCTAGCTACTCCAGGAGGCAGAATATATCAGAGGATCATGATTCAAACAGGCAGCCTGGCAAATAGTTTATAAGACCCTTCTTGAAAAAACCCTCACCAAAAAAGGGCTGGTGGAGTGGCCTCAAGGGATAGAACACCTGCCTACCAATGTGAGGCCTGAGTTTAATTATCACATTTAGCATTCTATTTTTAGAGCATTCAATAATTTTATACCCACAATTCTACATTTAAATTATTTAATGTGAGAGTGACATTTTAATGACAGGAAGATAATGTGAGGAAAAGACAGTTTGTTGAATTGGGGACAGGGCTCGGGGTGTGGCTCAAGTGGTAGAGTGCTTACTTAGCAAACATGAGGTCCTGAATTCAAACAAACCAAAAAGTAATAACTAGGTAGGCATCTGTGGAAAAATGCTGAATTCCTACCTTATTCTTTATAAAAAATTCTGCATGATTCTACCCCCCCCAGACAAAAAAGTCCAGCCTAAAGGATGTTAAAATAGAAATAGGAAAGATATTTTATAAGACCTAAGACCTAGTATAAATTAATCAATAAGTCAGTAGACAACTGGGCAAAGATCATGTACAATGTTCACATAAAAGGAAACAGAAATGGCTTTTCCACACATGAAAAATGTGCAAGACAACTTATAACAAGAAATACAAATGAGCTGGGCACTGGTGGCTCACGCCTATAATCCTAGCTACTCCAGGAGGCAGATATATCAAGAGGATCATGATTCAAAGGCAGCCCTGGCAAATAGTTTATAAGACCCTATCTTGAAAAAACCCTTCACCAAAAAGGGCTGGTGGAGTGGCTCAAGGGATAGAACACCTGCCTACCAACTGTGAGGCCCTGAGTTTAAACACCCATGCTGAAAAAAAAAAAAAGAAATACTTCATCTAGCCAGACTACCACAGTTCAAAAATAATCATGCTTTGTTAGTGGCACTGTAAATTGGCAGTGATTATTTAAGTTTGAAATCTACATTCCCTTTAAATGAGCTATTTCACTTGTAGGAATTTGTTTTATCAAAATGACATGTGTCACTGGCATAGTTTATAGTAGAAAAAGATTTGGAACAAATACTTTAAAATGGACTGGTTAAACAAACTATGGTCCATCTGAGAGCATCATAGAGACATTAAAAAGAATGAGGTGGGGGATGGAGATGTAGCTTAGTGGTAGAACATTTGCCTAGGATGTGCAAGGTTCTAGGTTCAATCCTCAGCACCAAAAAAATTTGGTTCAAATATTTATTTTGTTATTATTTTTGGTAATACTGGGGTTTGAACTCAGGGTCTCATGCTTGCTAGGCAGGCACTCTACCACTTGAGACACTCCACCAGCCTATCTTCTGTATTATTACCATTTGAAATCTGTATTGCTCATTCAAAATGAAGAATGGACAGTATCTTTTGAATGGATAAGCTCTTTAGACAAGCAAAATAAATAAGTATTTTGGAGGGCAATTTAAATCTAATATTTACTTACCAGTTCTCCTACATTTTCTCCAGTCCCTAATACTACCCTCCCTCCTTTCTTTTCCTTCTTTCTTCCCTCCCTCTTTTCCTTCTTTGCTTTTCTGCCTTTTTTTCTTTACTGTCTACCTCCACCTCCCTCTTTTTTTTTTCTGGTTCATCTCTAGCTTGGCAGAATTTTATTGTTGAACAGTTTGTTTTGTTTTGTTTTTGAGAAGACAGGACCAGAACAGGTGTATTGTCTGGATTTGTGAGCCTTGAATATGTCAGTTGTCTTTATCATTGACCTTGTGAACCTTGGCTGGTGCACAAATTCTTGGTTCTTGTTTTCTTCTCCTTAATACTCTGCAAGCATTGTTCTACTTTGGCTTTGCATGTTTCTGAAGAAAGATCTAAACATGTATCTTCAGAAAAGTTTTCTTTGTGTTTATCTTTAAATATTTCCCACTCCATGTATTTGTTTGTTTGTTTGTTTGTTTTTCAGGAAATAGTTGACATCTATAAGACTTCTTTCTTCGTCTTCCATATCCATCCCCTTATCTATAATCATCTTTAGAACTTTTTTTTAAAACAGCACTGGGGTTTTGAACTTAGGGCCTCATACTTGCTAGGCAGGCCCTCTTACCACTTGAGTCATTTTATCAGCTAGAACTTTGTCTTTTGCATTTAATTTGGGTTTATTTACTTAAGCTTATGGATCACTGGTAATGCCCTCAATGAGTTGGTTTCCTCTATTTCTTAGAGCTTATTGCATGATTTTAACTCTGTTATGCTTTTTTCTTCCATTTTTCTTTACCTCTGTGCACTTACTTTTTATATCCATTTGTTTTTGCTTTCCTAAATTTTATCTTTGAATCCTTGCAGTATCTTATTGGAGGTTTCCAACCTTAATTTTCATACAGCCCACATTTATTCATTTTTTCCCCATCCCTTTATGGTAGCCTTTTTTTCTTGTGCTCTATTTTCTTGTTTGTTTTAAAAATCTTTGCCTACTTCAGAGTGACATGTGTCCCATCTTTGTTTCTGGCGTTTTGTTCTTGTTACCATTTCTTCCAACAGAACTGCAGAACTGTGGCTTTGGTAGACAAAGCAATTCATGTCTAGAATGTGTGGTGGCTCAGCTACAAAGGAGAACAAGGTTAAGTCCTCGGCCCTGTTGTTTCTGTTACTATATTCCTGGGGCCTGATATACGAAGAAAACCCTTACTTTTAGGTGGAAATTAGCTGACCAGAAAATAAGAGAACAATGATTACAGAGTTGTAAAGAAAAGAAAATGAAAATCAAGAATTTATGAGCCAGCATGGGTGTTTTTCAGTGCTTGGGTAGCTGACATTTTAAAGCTTAACAAATTTAGGTAATATGACCTTTCTGAGCTTTTCTTAAAAACAAACAAACAAACAAACAAAACTGCTCAGTAACAAAATCCAGCCAATCTGGAGATGAGATTAATGAAAAAGGGTTGAAAAACACAATTCAGAGAAAGGTTAGCAGTCTGGATTATTTTGTGTCAAATAAAAGATAATACTGTAAGAGAGCCCCACACAGTATACTGTAGAGGTCTGTAGTAACTGATAGTAAATTATTGCATGAAAAGAAATGCTCAAAACTCTGGTGGTTGTGGTTGACGTGGTATTCTTGTCATGAATGTGTATGACATAACATTGTATGAATGTCTGATTAATATTGTTACCACACGCCAGGCACCGGTGGCTCATGCCTTTAAAACTAGCTATTCAGGAAGCAGAGATCAGGAAGATTGCGGTTTGAAGCCAGCCCAGGCAAATAATTCTTGAGACCCTATCTTGAAAGAACCCAGCACGATAAACAGGGCTCAAAAGGTAGAGTGCCAGCCTTGCATCCATCCATCCATCCATCATCTATCTATCTATCTATCTATCTATCTATCTATCTATCTATCTAGCCTTGCATCCATCCATCCATCCATCCATCTATCTAGCTATCTAGTCATCCCATCCATCTATCATTACCACACATCTTCATTGCCTAAAGATTTGACAACAATCACAGAATCACAGAGTTGGCATTGAACCACTGCAACTGTGGCCCAACAGTGTTGCATTAAAGTTCACACAGATGAACTTTACAGAAACAACACTATGATCACCAGAGCAAGGAGGAGGAAAAAGGAAGAGATATTAGGAATCAATCCACAGGGAACAGATGGCACACGTCTCTGGTGATCTTGCCTTTTCTATGCCTACCACACCTCTGGGTAAATGACAACAAAGCACATTCTAATCCTGTTTGTTGTGATGCCCTGCTACAGAATGATTTAAATCTTCTCTACACAACAGGAATATATCCCCACAAACCAATATAAATTTGGGAAATTACCCGTAACAGTTCTGTGGATGTTGGTCTTTCCTGAGGTATTTTCTGCAAGCAGTAATCAACAAATCTTCTAAAGGAGTCTGTCCTGTGTGCAAATTCATGAGAGAAAACAAAATGAGGGACTGTGGAGCACTTGGATTATGTGAAACAATTTTCACTTGAAAGAAAGTTTGCCATTTTAGGAGATTTTTACAATCAAATATTTCTCAACTCAAACATATCAGGAGACTTGGACTATTTTCACCTTATCTAAGTTTCAAGGTATCTAAAATTAATTCTTTTGGATAATGAGTGTGGACACAATTTCAGGTTAATCAACATACACATACATATCCACACATAAGGAAGTAAGGTCAGACCAAACCATAAAACATATCAGAAAATGAAAAATACCGTATTTATCCATGACAGTTTAATATGCATTTTCTCCTAGGTAGCAACTCTCACAGAGTCAATCCCATGTTCTTCAGTACCATTCCTTAATTATTATTATTATTATCATCATATTATTGTTGTCCTGGGGGCACATTGTGACACTTACAAAAGTGCTTACAGCATATCTTAGCTAAATTCACCCCCTTCCATCATTCTCCTTTATCTCCCTTCCTGCCATTCTTAAAATAGTTCCAACAGGTCTCATTTTTTTATTTTCATACATAATATTCCCACTATACTTAACTTTCCTAAACTCTTTCCTTATGTCCTCTCTCCTCCTACTGGTACCAATCCCCAGTCAGGACCCGCCTTACCTTCCTGTCCTCACTTTTTGAAAAAAAACATTTTTGTTTGTTTCAGATTACTATACAGGGAATTTCATTGTGACATTTCCAGGTAGATACACATTATATCCTGATTTGGTTCATCCCCCTCCAGTGTTCTCTTTTAGTCACAAGTACCATTCTTACTCCCTCACCATCTACCACCCATATCAAGGAAACCTTGAAGCCTAAGGGACAGAAAACCAAGGGTAGTTTCCTATCTTGGAAACTCCACTTTGTTCACTCTTCTTTAAAATGGCTTGTGTTCTATACTCTTATGGCCGCAATAGTTATAAATAATTTTCAGTGAGGAATAGTGCATCTTTGGAATAGATTATAAATATTCTCCCTCAGCACATTTAAATACACATATCATAAAACAATGACAAGTGACAGAGAAGATGATCAGCACATGACTGGTGAGACTTCAGAGATGGAGGAATGTAGCAGGGTATGTCCATGGGGGTCTCAGCTGCCACACATGCTAAGGAGCACAGCGTCAGCCACGGGGAGGGCAGAAACAAACTGCAGGTATAAAGGCACTTGTTGCTTGCAGGACACTAGAGTCCTTTCTAGGTCAGACAGTTAAAATGTAATTTAATGAGAGTGTCAGATGCCTGTGGTGATTTTCTTAAAGATGAGGAATGACAGCCAAGTCTTACCATTCACTGGACTGTAAGGTAGGGGAGTCGTTCTGCGCGATGTGATATAGAGCACTCATTGCATTCATGTTGAAAAGTGGGGGCTTCCGTTCCGCTGGAAGAGAGAAGAAACAAGATAAGGCAGTTCCCAAAGATCAGGCAGATTGTGAAAGAAGGAACTATGAACAAAACTCTGCTGCTAAATCAGTAGCTCATGACCATCACCACGTCACAGGATCCACTTATTTCAATCTCTAAGGTCAGCCCAGGATAGCCTTTTGGAAGCTGCTGGTCTTTCTAGTGTACACTGGAAAAGCTCCTCACAGAACTCATTTCAAAAGAGTGTGAGAAAAATTCCTTATATTTTTTTTTTCATGGATCTTCAGAAGACTGGCTTCCCTAGCAAGTGTAAGATCCTGAGTTCAAATAAATAAATAAAAAATAAACAATTCAGAAAGAAGAGAAGAATAAAGAAAAAACCCATTATTATGGAGCAGGCCATCTTAAATATCACAAGTATAGATGGGAGGTGAGATAATTCTATTCAAGGAATAGTATGACAGTGTATCCAGGCCAAAACACTGCTGGTGGAGGTGCATAGGGCAGTAGTGGGGAGGATGTGAAGGACAGATAATAAACAAGGCCTGGTCCATCCTATTATAAAGAAAAACTGATCTGGCCAGGTATTTTTCATCTTTCTCTCTCCTTGGTTTTGGGGATGGGACCCAGGCCTTGCATTTGATCTACAACTGAGCCCCAGCCCCAGCCTGGGTATTTCTTACTAGAGGACTCCTCTTACACCGTGGAATAAGGATCCCTTTGCTGGAACTCCTTTACCTCTCCCTGGGCAGTCTTGTTCTTTTGGCACCTAGTACATTTTATAAAAAGACAAAAAGTCAAAAGCTCTAAGGCAGCAAGATTTTATAACCTGAATACTTTTATTGTTTTATTTATTTCCCCAGAATATGAAATGAAATGCTATTCACAGATTAGGTGCTCCACTTGTTGGCCAAAGTAAAGAGACCAGGCTCTAGTTTTGAGCAGAGATTTTTTAGTTATTATGGCCTAGAAGGTAAACTATCATCTTATTCTACCATCTTTGCCCCTGTGGGTTTTTATTATTATTTTTTTTAATGGAGTCCCCTTTCTAATTTGTAATCTGATCTCTGGTTTTATCAGGTCATCTTAGTTTTTAAGTAAAGATTCTATTATCAACACTTCTAAAAATGATAAACTGGGCTGTACTATGCAGGTCTAAGGAACAGAACAAGAATGAAGGATAGAAATTACAGGAAAAAAATTTCACTCATAGGAGGAAGAACTTGTGAAAAGTGAGAGTGATTAAAAAACCAAAACAAAGCATCAGAATGGACAATGTTGAGAAGTGGTGAACTTTTAGTCACTGGCAGCACTTAGGCAGAAGTGACTATACTTGTTCTTCTGTCACCTTCAGAGGAACCCCTGACATTCTCTGTAAATGATTTCTATAGATACCTGTGGAATGTGATAGCCTATGAGTCTGTAAGAATCCCCCCTCCTGAACACAGTCAATTCCCTGCATTGCTGATGGACCAGAGTCTACCATCTTTGCTGGTGAACTGAGTGTCTATCGTTTAACCAGAGGAGCATCAATACTAGCTTCTTTTGAAATCATCTTGAAATGCACTACCTGGTTAACTGGACCTCCTTTTCAATATCAAGAATTTTCAAAAGATTCATGCATTTAACTAGCTCTTTCACTAGAAGATCCACGTGTAGCAGAAGACAATTTCTAAAACACTTAGGACAAGCAGAGCTTGGACTTTGAGAAAAGGGGCAGTGGAGGTGACAATATCATGGTCCTGCTTTGTAATGTGACCTTGGCAATTTGATTTATAGATTAAAGAGTTCTAAAAAAAATACATACACTGTTGGATTGGCATGGTGGAACATGCCTCTAATCTTAGCTACCAGGGGGGCAGAGATGATGGGAGGATTATGGTTCAAGACCATTCTGGGCAAAAGCTAGTGAGACCTTGTTCAAAATCAAGCCAGGTAGACATGGCTGTGCTCCCAGCTACTTAGGACGATTGTAGTTGGGGGCTGGCTGGGTAAAAACACAAGGCCCTATCTGAAAGACAAACTAAAGCAAAAGAGCAGGGGGCATGGATCAAGTGGAAGAATTGGCAAGCAGGAGTTCAATCCCCAGTACCACAAAAAAGACAAAACAACAAACAAAACAAACAAAAACCCCCCAACATTGAAAAAACACATAGCATAAAGAAAGGGCATGCTACTCAAGCACTACCCACAACATTCACCATAATTCAAACATTCAAAGTATGTTCGTACTCCAATTTAATTATACTTCATACAGAAAAACCATTGCTCACTTTTTTTTTTTTTTTTTTTTTGCTTTTGAGACAGGGTCTTGCTAGCAGTCCATCCTGTTCTTGAATTCAAGATCCTCCTTGCCTCAGTCTCCCCAGTTCCCCAGTGTTGAGATTATAGGTATGTGCCATGACCCCTAGCCCTAGAATGTACTGCAATAGTTTATAATTTTTCATGTAAAAAAAAGAAAAAAAAATTCTTCTCTTACATAGATATTAACAAAATCAATGCTAGGGAAATGAAGATATATGGTAAAGCTGTCAAAAAGGTTTATTATATTACTGATATCATAACTTCATTCTTAAGAAGTTAAATGTTAACATATCCCCCGCCCCCCCAACCCATTTCGGTACCAGCAGCCTACAGGCAGAGGCCAGGCAGTGGTTCTGAGCTACAGTTTCCTCTGGCATGGGACACTATAAGAGGCTCAGGGGGATGGGCTTGCCAGAAATCCAAACCCATGCATTCTTGGTAACGACATTGCAAACATTTACTGAAGATCTACTATTGTATTTCTCTGAATCTAAAATGCCACTGACCAAAAGATATATCACAATTTAACATATACCAGGAGAAAAATGTTGCCAGTTAAAGGAAGTAAAATTTTTATTTATTTGATTGTTTTTTGACAAATAAAAAACTATATATATAAGGTATACATTGTGATGTTTTGGTATGCATGTATAGTGAGATAACAATATACTCATCATGTCATATAGTTACAATTTGTTTTGTTGTGAGAACACTGAAAATCTACTCTTGGCAGTTTTAAGTATATAACAATTTGGAAGGAGGCTGAAATAGACAGTATGTTGCTATAAATATCTCAATTCATTTCATAAGAAGATAAATCATTAAAAAGCACATACCAGGAGTGTCTCAGGAGAGGAGGAACTCAGGTATCTCCTGGCCTCTATCTATTTTGCCCGAAGTGAACCATTGTGTAAGACTTTAGTTATCACTACATCCATATTGTACAAAAACTAACGTGGTGATGATCTTGAATCATCTTACAAAGGAGTATGCTGTTTTTATCCCCACTAAAAAGGGCAGAAAGGCCAGAATCTATGTTATATTTCAGAAAGATTTTGGTAAGAAAAAAAACTTTTTTTCCCCTCAGTACTAGGGAATAAACTGGGAACTGAATACTTGGCAAGTGCTCTACCACTGAGCTATACCCCCAGCCAAGAAAAAACTTGTGAAAACCACAGATGGGCACTAATGAGCTATAAGGATCATGTCAGCTGGTACATCCTCTCAAAGAGTCAGAGCTGAGGAGTTGCTGGTGTGGTCAGTGACATGAGTAAAACTAGGTCATCTTCATTTCTGAATATAAACTGCAAAACAGTTTCCAGATATGAATAGATTAGCTATTACTAAGCACATGCCCAGTGCCGTGCTATGTTAGGCACTTTAAATCTTATTATCTTATTGAAGACTGAAAATGTATATGATATATGCATTTTGATTTTCATTTAACAGGTGAGAAGTGAAGAGAAACCATTCAGGATCGATCACACAGCTGGAATGAACATGCTACCCAGCTCCAGAAGGAATCCTTTATATCCTTGACAATATGAATGCCTGCTGGAGTGATGTCACAGCCATGCAGGATGATCCTGCCAGCTATGTTCCAGTAGAGCCGAGATCCAAATCCAGGATGTGTAATTCTGAAACTTCCTATATACTGCTAACGGTGCTATGCATGGAGTAGGTTTCTTTCCTTCAAAAGGATACATTTTTATTTCTAACTTTTAAAAGTTAAGTTATTCAGCCTCAAAAGTATACAAAAATTTACAGAATGTTATAATAGAAACCTACAACCTAGATTTATTGTTATTTCATTGTATTTGTTTAAGGTCTTTTTTCTCGAAAAAAAAATTAGTAAGCAGATGTAACCACCTGCTTTCCTTTATTCCAGAGTTTATTCTTCAGGAATGTATCTTCTATATCCTGTTATTTTTTTTTAGTATTTATATGCTTTTAACAACAAAAAGTGTTCATAAAAGTTCCATAATTGGGCCTAGGGGCATGGCTCAAGGGAAGAGCACCTGCCTAAAAGAAGAACTGATACCAACCCTCCTTAAACTGTTCCATGAAATAGAAAGGGAAGGAAAACTGCCAAACACATTTTATGAAGCCAGTATTACACTTATCCCAAAACCAGGCAAAGACACCTCCAAAAAGGAGAACTATAGGCCAATCTCCTTAATGAACATTGATGCAAAAATCCTCAACAAAATAATGGCAAACTGAATTCAGCAACACATCAAAAAGATTATTCACCACGACCAGGTAGGCTTCATCCCAGGGATGCAGGGGTGGTTCAACATACGAAAATCAATAAACGCAATAAACCACATTAACAGAAGAAAAGACAAAAACCACTTGATCATCTCAATAGATGCAGAAAAAGCCTTGGATAAGATCCAACATCATTTCATGATAAAAGCTCTAAGAAAACTAGGAATAGAAGGAAAGTTCCTCAACATTATAAAAGCTATATATGACAAACCTACAGCCAGCATTATACTTAATGGAGAAAAATTAAAACCATTCCCTCTAAAATCAGGAACCAGACAAGGATGCCCACTATCTCCACTCCTATTCAACATAGTACTGGAATTCCTAGCCAGAGCAATTAGGCAAGAAGAAGGAATAAAAGGAATACAAATAGGTAAAGAAACTGTCAAAATATCCCTATTTGCAGACGACATGATCCTATACCTTAAAGACCCAAAAAAC